TAATAAAAAAAAATAAAAATATTAATGAACTTCTTTCTTAATTTTACCGATTTATATTTATACAAACACTACGTGAACACTGCAGCTGCACAAACGAGTAAACTTATTTATTCGTTAAATAACCGAAATTGCACCATTATTTTATCAACTATAAACTACACAGCACTTCACAAACAAATGATATCACAATTTAGCTTTTTCACCAAAAAGTTAAAAAATTCTAAAATGATTTTTTAATGCAATTACTTAAGCGTCATCTTAATTCATAATGTCGATTATACATCTTACTTACGCTGGCTAAGCCTAGTGAGGTTGCCGTTTAACTTCGGAGAACTTAGAAACGAAAATTATTCTTTAATTTAAATTAAGATAACAAGACTCATCTAAAATTCTCAATAGCATAACAAAGCGCCAGCTTTAAATTCACATTACAGTTTGCGAACAGATCACTTTTTTCGCCCCAAAGCTAGTTCGAATTCTCAAACCAATTTGCAGGAATTGTAAATTTGAATGACGTTTGGACTAAAAAATTTTAAAATGCGTATGTTAAAGCTTGTTCATTTTCGGGTGATTATTTTTTATTCAAGCGCGAATATGACATTAACTGCGGATGTAGGAATTTACAACCAAATATAAACAAATGTATATAGGTAAATAAATGAATTATATAGAGACACCATAAACAGAATTTACAAATAAGGAAATTCAAAATAAATTAGAAATTCAATCTTGAAAACAGGACGGTTATACGATATTGTACGGGTCTTACGCAACTCATTGCGTTAAAATTGTATTAACAAAGTGACAGGTGCCAAAGGAAAACAATGTCGGAATTTGCTGCCTGTGCTGCTGATGAATGCGTTGTCAACGCAATGTCCAGAAACGTCACAGACGCATAAATAAACCAGAAGTTTTTTGTATTTTGCTTATTTTACCTGAGTTAATGCATTATAATTGCTATATACAATATTGACACTAGTGATATAGAAACTGCAATGGTGATAGTGGGCGCTGCCCTTACCCGTTAGGCAGCCAAATTCAGCAATAACCACTTAGATGTTCATTGGTCGCTCGCGTTTCTATGTTGTTGCTTTTGCTGCTCTGCCGGTTTGTTAGTGCGCTCGGTTGCGTATTTGTTGTTTGTTTTTTCTAAAAGTTCAACTATAACGATCAATAAAACACGAACACGAGGGTAAGTTTGTAATTTTTAGCTTAGGAGCTATTGTGAATTGTAGACTTGTATATTTTGTTTTAATAAAATTTATAAAATAAATTTTCAGTGACACAATGCACCTTCTTAAAATCTGCACTTATATTTTACGCTTTATGAACAAGAAACTTTAAAACTATAAAAGTTGTATTACAAATCAATTACTACACTGACGCTTCACTAATAATTGCCACTTTGGCAACTTTGTTAAGTAAGCTTGATTAATTTTCACTGAAATTCGTTGGGCATTCCAAGTTCCTAACAGTAATACACACCAATACATGTAAATCTTAGTAATAAATCAAAGTAAATGTTCATATGTTTCTTACAGCTTTAACTTTGTTTGACACTATAACCGTTACACTGGCTAACCAATGCACTACTAACATTGGTTGGCCGCAAGAATATTTTCATAATTTTTTTCTATACCTCAAGTGTACCCATACATACACATATGTATGTATGAACACATATTTTTACTGATTTGGATATTCACTTTCGTTCACATATACATTATAATATATATATTATCTATATATATAAACAGCACGAGTACAATATACGAAAACAACAATAAACAAGTGCAAATAGGCCGCGTTATCTTCGTTCCTTGGTTGGTTGTGTTGTTTGTGAGCTTCTTCCGTTGCCGCAAAGGTGCAGAAATTTTGAAATGACGTTTGTTGCGAAGCATTTCTCACCCTCGTCATCGTTGGGACACATTGTGCTTCAACATAGAGTGTGTGCCACCATCGAGTCTCGAAGGAGCGCAGCACAGGCATTGAAGCAACAATGTTGTCGTTGTTGAATTGTCCGCTGAGCGCTATAAAAAGCTAAAAGCCGATTTTGTGGTTGAAAATTTGCCAACAATTATATATAATGTATAACAGTTGTGTTTATGGCAGATAATATAATATTATAGTAAATATGTTCCAAAACCATAAATCGTGTTAATATTGTGGAATTTAAAATTTCATAATGAAATATGCTGACTGTTGTGTTCTTAAGTGATTGAAACCTAGTTTGAAACTATAAATTTGTAATCCTTCTATTTAAAAGAAAATATCCGTATTTGTTACGCGTAACAAAATCATGCTCCGAAAACCGATTATACAAATCACTACAAAGTCACCTAATTTTAAAATCATTCGGCATAATTTAAGTCAAGAACCAATATAATTTTTCTTGTTCATAAATTTTCTGAAATTACGCTATTTTTTGCTTATTAAAAGTACACTATCGCAAAAATACAAACTTTGTCTGAAGAATGCTTAGCATACACATTAAAACAAAAATATTTATGTGCACACTGTCTGAAAATCTATTTTGTAAGGGTCAGGCTTTAGAATAACGTCCCACGCTTTCGGGGATAAAATGAGTATGGGCGGATAGAGAGATCCTCCAGGTCAAGAATATATATAGATATAGCCGCGGGAAACTTATGATTTTCGAGATATTTACGTTAAAGTTGAAAATTTCAACTATTAAAGTACGTATTTTTGCGATTTAAAATGAATATACACTTATATTTTTCACTTTTATATCCACTAACACTTGACTAATTCGTTTTAGAAATTTTTTTATATTAGTGCTGCAAAAATAGCTTTATTTGAATATTTAAATCATTGTTCAATTTATAATTTTGACAACAACAAAATGGGTGTGAATGTTCAGAAAATCAGTGTTGTCATACTAATATTTTTGTAAACGAAGAAAACTAAAATAAACAGAAATTGTACCCTAGACACAGGAAACAACGCCAAAAAAGAATTTTGCGCGTAAAAACTTTAGTACACCCCGGTGTTGGATCGACCAGGGTTATTTTTTTTGAAGCGCGACCGAGGCTGCCAACGCAAAAATAAGTTCGCGCAAAAAAACCTTGATACACCCGGTGTTGGACCGACCAGGGTTTTTTTTAAAGCGCGGTCGAAGGCCGCCAACGCAAAAGAAGTTCTGTGCGAAAAAATTTGATACACACCGACCAGGGTTATTTTTTTTGAAGCGCGCCGAAGGCCGCCAACTCAAAAGAAGTTCTACAAAAAAAGTAATATTGTCATAGAGGTAAACATAATACTTACATCAATGACTTTGTAATAGTTTATTTCTCTAGGTTTTGGATTCCTGTATTTTGGGTATTAATCTGTTTAATTTCTTTGAGTTCAATACAAATAGATGTCGACAAGTAACACTGGTTATTGAAATTTGCAACCCTTTTTTATGTCAGAATTAATAGAATTAACAATAATTCAGATTATTGAATAAACTATTTTTGCACTATATTAATGTAAAATAAAGTGGTTACAAACGATTAGTAAGTGTTAGTGGGGATATAAAAGTGGAAAATATAATTGTATAATCATTCGAACATGGGAAAAATGCACGTACTTTAAATAGTCGAAATTTTGAACTTTAAACCCAATATCTCGAAAAACTATAAGTTTCCGCGGCTTATCTATATATATTCTTGATCTGGAATCTTCTCTATCCGCCCATACCCATTTCATCCCGATAGCGTCGTGGGACGTTATGCTAAAAGTTTTCCCATTTGTAATTTACTTTTCCACTTTGTGTTTTTGTGTGGTCGCCATTTATATTCTGCTTTTAGCCATTTAACTGAATACTACAAACATTTTATATTGCAAATTGTATTCATAAATTTTGCACGCAATTGCTAATTAGAAATTGATTACAGATTTCAGATTAATAATTTGCAAAATATTAATGAACTTTGTTCTTAATTTTACCATATATTTATACAAACACTAGCGGAACACTGCAGCTGCACAAACGAGTAAACTTATTTATTCGTTAAATAACCGAAATTCCACCACTATTTTATCAACTATAAACTACACAGCACTTCACGAACAATGATATCACAATTTAGCTTTTCATTTACCCGTAATTTTAAATTTACTAAAACTAAATTTTCCGCTAAACTTCAGACGCGCCACGAAATAACTGTTCTTGAATTGACATTTGTTTTGCTCGTATTGTCGAGAACGTATATTTAAATATAAACGTAATATAAATACCGTTGCTGGACGACACAGCACAGGTGTTATAGCCCGAAATATTTTTTCTAACGGAAAACAAATGAAAAATAAATTAACAGCAAAATGAAAGGAACGGATATTAGAGAAAAAAACAAATAAAAATAATTTTTACTTTATTACGGTAAAATATTGATGTTATTTAGTTTTACAAGAAACTTGATTTAATTTTATAATATACATTTGTATTATATTCTATTACATGTGTTGATAATAAATTTCGTTATATAAACATTATAG